TGCGCAGACACATTGCTCGGTGTCTGTCCTTCCAGACTGTGCTACCACTGGGCCTGTGGGGCCTTGGCTTGGATGCAACCCTGTTTTACCGCTCCCCCTATATTTCCCCTTGTTGTTTTTCTCCTCTCATCCCTCTGTAAATAAATATTTCCCTTTCTTATATCCATTGTACTTTTCCTGTGGGTGTGTGTGTTCACTCTGGGGGGGTTGGAACAGGTGCCCTGGGGTGGAAGGGATTTCTCCTGCTGCATTCCTGCGCACACTTTCTCATGGCCAGAGCTGCCTGCAGAGCAGACTCCATCTTGGCTACGAGGGCACTAAAGTTACACATAAAACCAGGCTTTGGAGGCGAATGGCCCCAGCAGAGGCCCTGCACCTTTGCCAAGGTTTGAGTTTACACAGAATTTTCTAGGAGGAGTGGTCCTAAAAGAAAGCCCCCACATCTTTTATTACTTGCAGTCCCACTGGTTAGGATGGGACTAGCCCCTCTGGATAAGCTCATTAGGGGCATATGGCCGTAGCATCACCCCAGTACTAGGAAACATCCCCTTTACACCCTCAGGAGATACAATGTATGATGCTGACAGACCCGGTCATGCTAGAGTATATTCAGGTGAATTCACTTGTGTATTAGTATAGATCAAAGTGATTGCTGAAGGTGGAAGAGTGTATGAAAACTAATGGGGCATTACTTACATTGTTTTCACTTATCTACATCATATTACAATGTAATAGCAAACAGTTACAATGTGTATACCCCTGTAACTAAATAACCCATCAAAGAAGTCTGTGGAATGCTAATGAAGGACTTTAACAGAAAAGTGCTAATTTCAAAACAAGTGGCCATTGTGTGTGATGACAGAGGTCAAAGACTCAAAGTGCATTCCTCACTCACTGTCATCAAAGGAAAAGCCCATGTGGATAGAGACACTGTCAGCTTGTTTTCCGTCAGAAGAGGCTATAAATGTGGTTTTAAGGAAAGATCTTTCATCACTGGACTGATTGGATTCTAACAGGGCAGAATAACCAAACGAGAAGACGGAGAACCGCAAGGTTATTCTGCGTAGCCCTGAGAGACTTTTGGGAAACTGGAAGATTATGACATCTCTGCTACCTCTCTGCTACCATTTGGGATGACAAACTGTGACTCACCTATATGTACATATATTTTATCTGCTTTAACCTCTCAATAACTCTCACTTTCTTTTCTTAGCTAATAAATCTTTATTTAGTTTACTGTAGAACTGACTGCCAGCATTGTGTTTGGTGTAAGATCTGGAGTACCAACTGATGTGGTCTCATGGGACTGGGAGCAACCTGATGTTGTGTAATTCGATTTGTGACCTTTTATAACAAAGTTTGTCTAGGTGGCAAGATAGACTGGAGTGTCTAAAGGGACTATCTGTGACTCCATGGTAAGACTTGTTTAGTGACCCAGGAGTTCACATTTATCTCTGGTTTGGTGAAATCTAACTATAGAACACACCACCAGCTTCGGCTGTCTGCCCTGTTTTCTAACAGTCTGTCCTGAGGTAGGCACTCAAAGTTGTGAGCCACTCCAGACAGCATGACACAATGTCAGAAGTTCTGGATTCTGATCTGGATCTGAACTGGGAAGGTAGGAGATGGACTGTTTGATGGTAGAAAAGGAAATAACTGAGCAGGGGTTAAGTAGCGAGCAGGCCCTGACAGGCCATCTTCCCCCTCTCACAATCACTTAAAATGTCTGTGGCAACAAACTTGGCGAGTCCTGGGGGCGTATTAATATGGGGGGGTTAACTACAGCCCAGAGATGGGTTAATCCAGCCCTAAGTATGCCAAGTCCTATGTTCCTGTGACTTTCTCAATACTTTTGAACTGAGCACAGTTCATGATGGAGCTCTGACCCTGATTGGGAGTATGGGGGCTAACATAAATAATACAAAAATCTCTCAAAGGAATATGATAGGTACTGGTTTTAGTCCCACCTATCTTTTGAACTTTCATCAGCTAATAGCCTCATTATTGGTTTCAGTTTAGCTTTGTCTTTTAGTAACAGTGCCAGCAGCACTAACACTGCTGGATTCTGATTCATAGATTCATAGATTCTAGGACTGGAAGGGACCTCGAGAGGTCATCGAGTCCAGTCCCCTGCCCGCATGGCAGGACCAAATACTGTCTAGACCATCCCTGATAGACATTTATCTAACCTACTCTTAAATATCTCCAGAGATGGAGATTCCACAACCTCCCTAGGCAATTTATTCCAGTGTTTAACCACCCTGACAGTTAGGAACTTTTTCCTAATGTCCAACCTAGACCTCCCTTGCTGCAGTTTAAGCCCATTGCTTCTTGTTCTATCCTTAGAGGCTAAGGTGAACAAGTTTTCTCCCTCCTCCTTATGACACCCTTTTAGATACCTGAAAACTGCTATCATGTCCCCTCTCAGTCTTCTCTTTTCCAAACTAAACAAACCCAATTCTTTCAGCCTTCCTTCATAGGTCATGTTCTCCAGACCTTTAATCATTCTTGTTGCTCTTCTCTGGACCCTTTCCAATTTCTCCACATCTTTCTTGAAATGCGGTGCCCAGAACTGGACACAATACTCCAGCTGAGGCCTAACCAGAGCAGAGTAGAGCGCATTTATCTTACGGATAAATCTGGTGCATCACAGATCAGGACCTGTTTGGTTGTGTTTACACAGGACTTCCATTAATGGAATGTCTAGCCTTATAGGAAAGGCAAATATAAAACACTTGTACATGGCACACTTAACCCATGATCTTCATGTCTTTTAGACTAGCTGCATGAAACAACTGGACACAGTATGGAAATGCCATAGCAGAAGCTTCATAAGGAAGGAACATATCTTCCATGTGTCTGACCCTCAGAGCATCAGGTAGAGAAAGCAGAGGAGAATGTGTGGTGTCACCCTATTGCCCTCACTAATATTTTTCAGAACTGCATAACACACAATTGAACAGGCAAAACTGCATCTGTTTTGCATGCATAATTGCTACTACATGGATATACATGAAATAGTTCCACACACAAATGAGAATTTATGCATCAAACTGTCAATTTGTGTTCACAATCATTATGATGATAGTAGTGTGTTTAGATTAGGTGTACAAATGTACACACTCATGCCTTTTTACGGACGCATTTCAATATGCATAGTTCTAAAAGTCAGATCAAGTAGCTTTTTTGTTTTCAATGCTAAATTAGTCCGTTAGGCTTCTCCACTGTAGTAATATAACTTGGAAACAGCACTGGACTACAGCATGCAGAGGTCTGACTTTTCTATACTGGAAGGTACCGCCCAGTCCATTAAATCTCCCTTGTTTAATCTCTCAGGCTGGTCGAAAATGAGTTCAAAAAGTGACTCATCCTTTTTATATCACATAGGACAAAAAGATGGTCTTTTGTATTTGATTTCCTAATTCACAGTATATGATAGAGAAGAAAGCTTTCTCAGCAGGTTCATCAGGCTTTTCATCTAGTGAAAAATAGTTACATATTGTAATCCTGAGTCCCCAAAGTATTTGCTGTTTTCTCTATTCCCCAGCCCCATTTCCATACTCATAGCTGCACAAAAAGAAAGATGGTTCACAGAAAGGCAGTGTTTGTGCACTATGTAAATTATTAAATCCTTCTATACAAGATCTACTCTGCTCTTGCAAGTATAGGAAGAGAAAGCACTGGAAACGTAATGCATTATAATAGAACTGTCCCTGTCAACCACATTAGAGCTTCAAACTAATCATCAGGGTAGAACCTAACACATTAAACTGTACAGGGCACGGTTAATATCAAAATAGGGCACTCCTGACAGACGAAAGGCCTTGAGGCTTAAACATAACTGTCTGCAACCTTTTTCCATCGGAGAGTAATTTGTAGTGCTTAATTAATTCTTGGCATTCCTTTGGAGGCAAAATAGTACTTACTTTCACACAATTTTAAGAAAAAAATAGAAAAGACTAGAGATAACAGCATGCTTCAGTTGGCAAGCAAAAAAGGTTATTTTTTGTTAATTGAAAGAAAGGACTAATTTTATTTGAGCTTTATACCACTGCAGCTAGAAAACCTTGAGTAATATGGATGAAATCTGGGTCCCAATGTCAATGGCAAAACTCCCTACATTTCAGGCAATCTTAGCATACCTCTATAGCTGCAATATCTTTTGGACACATTACAACACCACAGCTCTGCTGTGACAAAATGTAAATAACCACCATATAAAAGCTTAAATCTCAAGGGGTTACCCGTACATGTGTTATGAGATCATACATATCAAATACACCTCTACCCCGATATAACGTGACCCGATATAACATGAATTCGAATATAACATGGTAAAGCAGTGCTCCGGGGGGGCGGGGCTGTACACTCCGGAGGATCAAAGCAAGTTCGATATAACGCGGTTTCACCTATAACGTGGTAAGATTTTTTGGCTCCCGAGGACAGTGTTATATTGGGGTAGAGGTGTACTGTAGCAAGTATTATGCAAATTTCCCAACATTTCCAACCTTCTCTGTTGTCAGTAAAGTAGAAAACCTCACAGCCAGACCCAGGTCTGGAAAGAGGTGGAATTTAGCAGGATGGTGGTTTGTTTGTTTTTTTAATGTGTACCATCATTTCTTATTAATGATATTACACAATGATTAACATGTTTAAAATTCATCAACTGAGGATCAGACTCATGCTTACAATCCCAGCACTTATTCCAATGCTGAGTTGCAATCTCAGCTCACAGGTACAGATGGCCCAGCTGACAGACTCTCACTTCTAGCTCTCATCTACCATATGCAAAGATTTTAACTAAATCATTATTAATAATTGGGGTTTAAATATTTTATGCCAGGACTTACAAAGTTTCTGGTGGGAATACTCAATTACTAAATTCTGACTTGAATTAACAAATCAATTCTAATGTACAGCAATTCACATTTGTTCAGCACCAAGATTATCTTAATTTACATGGTGATGGCTTTAACATATAATACACACAAAAAACTTACCTGGATAATGTGTTTCAGTTTATCAATAATTTGATTTATTACAGGATCTGTTCCTTTCACTTTTACTTCTGGATTCACAGATTGAGCTTTGACTCCATTGCCAACCACACGGTGGGTATAGCTAATATAACAAAGAAATATGTTTTAGTAAACTGATGTAACTTCTTCAGAGAATGTATTTAACTGTAAATACTAGCTGACACAACCTCAATTGGCATTGCCATTCCATTTTAATGACTGCATGTTTATTTTGTCCATGTAGGCTTTGTTACCAGAAAGTTACACAGTATGGTAAAATTGATATATGTTACAAAGTTTTGATAAGATTTTTCATTTTTTGTTATTTCTGAACATTTTGTAATAAGAAAAATAAATGTAAAAATAAGAACTGTGAAAGGACAAGCATGCACATTATACCATTCTGTGACATTTTTTATTTTGTTAAGTGCATGAGAATTGGCTTTTGCTCTACATCTCTATCTCAGCAATATTCTGCCAGCTGTTAATCAAAAGGGAAAGTAAAAGAATCCTGTGGACATTCTATCACAGAGGTGTCAAATGCCCAAATTCCACCTGCTGGATGTGTGTGTGGTGGGTCAGCATGGCATATTCAAATTCTGTAGACTCTGAGTTTTCATTGTAAATAATTTCTTGTCCTCTTGGTTTCAAAGAGAACTTTCCAAATACGAAGTGTGCATGAACAGGTAGTGTTGTTTGTGTGAATTTGCAGACAGCCAGAAACAATAGCTTTGAGGGGTGTGGATTCCCTTTCTTTTGTTGATATAATTGGGATGTTATTAACTCTAAAGTCCTATGACGATCCTTTACTGTCAACTGTAACTATTTCACCGATGATCACTTTGGCAGATGGAATAGAAGACAGGTTGGGAGTGAAGCCCATGGAGGGTGAGAATTGACGACATACAAAGAGAGGGAAGATGAAAAGAAACAGTTTGGGGATCAGGGTGTGAGTGTGATGGTTAGAGTCAGAACCGGGGTCAACATCAGGTGCCAAGCCAAAGGCCACAGCCAGGATTAACAGTAGGGTATGAGCAGGGACCTGGAGCAAGGTAAGAAAGAACCAGGATGACCCACAATTCTCAGCTGTCTGTCTAGAGACAGATCATCTGCTCATGCAGTGCTGATGCCTCTTTGGGTATAGGGAATTCCACTGGATCCATTCTTGGCTGCAGGGGCGGTTCTATGTATTTTGCTGCCCCAAGCACGGCAGTCAGGCGGCTTTCAGCGGTGCGCCTGCGGGAGGTCCGCTGGTAACGCGGATTTGGCGGCATGCCTGCGGGAGGTCCGCCGGTCCCGCGGCTTCGGCATACCCGCCGCCGAATTGCCGCCGAAGCCGCGGGACTGGCGGACCTCCCTCAGGCATGCTGCCCCCACAGCGACCGGCAGGCCGCACCCCGCGGCTTGCCGCCCCAGGCACGCGCTTGGTGCGCTGGTGCCTGGAGCCACCCCTGCTTGGCTGGGCCCACTTGAAAATATTGGTAGTGGTCCAAGTAACCTGTAGGGACAAAGGCAAGGATGATTGAAGTCTAAGATGGAGGTTGGGTGTAAGAGCAGATACCTGGAGAAAGGCAGGAAAACAGAAACTGGTAACAGATGGAGGGCTGGGATAAAGAGGACCCGGACAAGGTGGGAGGCAGGACCAGGACGAGGCAGGAAGGCAGAGGTCAGGTGTCAGGAAAATAGACAAGGTCCATAGTAGCATCCAGCCAGTGATTCACCTGGTTAGTAAGACAATTCCTGTGCTTCTTTCTGGCTTAAGTAGTGTGTCCTAGCCAACCAGAAGATTCCTAGGCAGGACCCTTTGTGAGCTAGAGCTTTGCTAGCTCCCTTCTCTACTAGTTTGAGTGAGATGGTGTCCACAGTCTGAGCACTGCCTTAGGACCCAGGGGGCTGGGCTTGAAGCCCAGAATCTTTCACATGGAGATAGGAAGGTTAGGAAGAAAGGGTGGAAAGAGCAGAAATAGCAGTGATAAAAGTGGGCATATTTTCCCACTGAATGATGCTCAGTAAGGTGCTGAACAAATAATAAATTATAACAACTAAAGTTCAGTTACTACACAACAGCCATATTCCGTACTTGATATTTGTGCAAATATCCCATTGACGTCCGTGCTGTGGATGGAGGGCAGCGTGTACTCCTAAATGTATACCGCAGCCCAAGGACCATAATTAAAAACGGTATTCTACTTTCTCCAGAGAATGAGTTTAATACCTTCGTACTAGTGGGACCCCGAGGCCTCTTTCAATCTCACAAAGGGATCCTTTCTGTTCATAATGGAAAATATTATACTCAAAAATAGCTACTAGGATATTTTTCTGTGAATTATGATTTCTGCAAAACATTATAAAATCTGAACTCACATAGGGGCACACTGGACTAGATTCAGTGGTACGCTCGAGCTGACTGATCCTGCAAGTCCGTGTCAAAGTGACTTGAATGTGCAGGACCAAGACTCAGCTGCTTTGCACCTGATGAATCTGGTTCATTTTGTTTCACATTGAAAGGACTGAATGAGAACTCAGGACCTTCAGAATTTGGCTCTGCATGAATTATTTTTTATGGACTCCTTCATGTTTCAATTTCTTTTGTATTTGTTCAAGTTCATTGTAAGTAAATATAACATTAAAATTACATACATTGGTAATGTTGAACAATGAGGGGAATTAAGGCTTACAACTGCGCTACTGGAATGTGGTATTTGTATTTCTTCTTCTTCTTTTTTACAAAAAGCAATATTGAAGACACTGTAAAAGTTTTATGTTCTCTATACAATGGCATTTAGGTTTGTACCAGACAGTACTTTGTACCCAAGTACTGGGAGAAATATCTGAAACAGTCAGTTTAATGGAATGCATGTAACTTATGCAGTACAGCTGCTAAACTTGGGGGAATATCAGGATACATTACTTTAGCAATATCATAAACCTTCTAGCTGGTCCTGTGACTGGGCCTCCACCATCCTCTTCTCACATAAGATTTAAGGGAATGAAGGAAGAGGGCTGTCAAATTGCTGTATCAGACATTAGGAAGGCCAAAGCCATTCTCCGGCAGTGTTAGGGGATGTCTTCCCCTAAGTCTACTTCCAATTCAAGTTTATCAGGTAACTAGACCCCATTTGTAATGAGTACCTACTTTGGCCACCTGTCACCAGGAGGTGCCAGCAATTAGCTTGTCTGCCTCTCTCTCCCCACCCCCTCCAACCATGGACAGCTGGGTTCCCAGATAGTTAATTCCTTCCCTAGCATTAGCCAAAAATATATCTACTCACTTAGATGAGAGGAAAGTGATCAGGAACAGTCAGCATGGATTCACTAAGGGCAAGTCATGCCTGACTAACCTAATTGCCTTCTATGACGAGATAACTGGCTCTGTGGATGAGGGGAAAGCAGTGGATGTGTTATTCCTTGACTTTAGTAAAGCTTTTGATACAGTCTCCCACAGTATTCTTGCTGGCAAGTTAAAGAAGTATGGGCTGGATGAATGGACTATAAGGTGGATAGAAAGCTGGCTAGCTCATCGGGCTCACCAGGTAGTGATCAATGGCTCCATGTCTAGTTGGCAGCCGGTATCAAGCGGAGTGCCCCAAGGGTCAGTCCTGGGGCCGGTTTTGTTCAATAACTTCATTAATGATCTGGAGGATGGCATAGACTGCATCCTCAGCAAGTTTGCAGATGACACTAAACTGGGAGGCGTGGTAGATACACTAGAGGGTAGGGATCGGATACAGAGGGACCTAGACAAATTAGAAGATTGGGCCAAAAGAAATCTGATGAGGTTCAGCAAGGACAAGTGCAGAGTCCTGCACTTAGGACGGAAGAATCCCGTGCACTGCTACAGACTAGGGACCGAGAGGCTAGGCAGCAGTTCTGCAGAAAAGGATCTAGGGATTACATGGATAGAAGCTGGATATGAGTCAACAGTGTGCCCTTGTTGGCAAGAAGTCTAATGGCATTTTGAGCTGTATAAGTAGGAGCATTGCCTGCAGATCAAGGGACATGATCATTCCCCTCTATTCAGCATTGGTGAGGCCTCATCTGGAATACTGTGTCCAGTTTTAGGCCCCACACTACAAGAAGGATGTGGAAAAATTGGAAAGAGTCCAGCGGAGGGCAACAAAAATGATTAGGAGGCTGGAGCACATGACTTATGAGGAGCGGCTGAGGGAACTGGGCTTATTTAGTCTGCAGAAGAGAAGAATGAGGGGGGATTTGATAGAGCTTTCAACTACCTGAAAGGGGATTCCAAAGAGGATGGATCTAGACTGTTCTCAGTGGTATCAGATGACAGAACAAGGAGTAATGGTCTCAAGTTGCAGTGGGGGAGGTTTAGGTTGGATATTAGGAAAAACTTTTTCACTAGGAGGGTGGTGAAGCACTGGAATGGGTTACCTAGGGAGGTGGTGGAATCTCCTTCCTTGGAGGTTTTTAAGGACACGCTTGATAAAGCCCTGGCTGGGATGATTTAGTTGGGGATTGGTCCTGCTTTGAGCAGGCGGTTGGACTAGGTGACCTCCTGAGATCCCATAGAATCATAGAATATCAGGGTTGGAAGGGACCTCAGGAGGTCATCTAGTCCAACCCTGCTCAAAGCAGGACCAATCCCCAACTAAATCATCCCAGCCCGAGCTTTGTCAAGCCTGACCTTAAAAACCTCTAAGGAAGGAGATTCAGAATGGATTCCTTGAGGACTGCTCCACGATTTTTCCAGGGATTGAGGTGAGGCTTCCAACCCTGATATTCTATGATGGAGGAGATGTAACACATCTCCAACTGGAGAGTAGTTCCCTGGATCCTTCTTCTTCCCTTTTTTAAAGATGGGCACTACATTAGCTTTCTTCCAGTCATCCAGGACCTCCCCCGATTGCTATGAGTTTTCAAAGATAATGGCCAATGGCTCTGCAATCACATCCACCAACTCTTTTAGCACCCTATGATGCAGTGCATCTGGCCCCAAGGACTTGGGCTCATCCAGCGTTTCTCCCCATACTGTGCTGCCCAGTGCAGTAGTCTGGGAGCTGACCTTGTTTGTGAAGACAGAGGCAAAAAAAGCATTGAGTACATTAGCTTTTTCCACATCCTCTGTCACTAGGTTGCCTCCCC